AAAATACACGGGCATTAGCCTCATTTTCCCATTTTTCCTTTTCTCGTGTCAGAGGTTTGGGCTATTGAGTTTAACACACTGTTTGATATTACAAAGGAGAAAATTACCTGAAAAACAAGGATTGCTAAGTTTCAATAGAAAGAATAAAATATAAATTATTATTTTTATCTAATAATAAGAGAGTGATAAAAAAAATCATAATTATGTTCAAATGTAATCGAGACAGCAAAATTAAAAAAATAGTCTTATGTTTGTAGCATTGGACTGATATAATAGAAAGAAATGCATTTTAGTTTTATGTTTACTATGCTACTCACGCATTTTAGTTTGTGAAAAACATAAAAAAATATATTATTTTCTAATTTCAATAAATATATATTTATTGATTTTTAATTATTATTTTAATAAAAAAATTAGAAATCAAATTAATAATTTAATATATTTAATTTAGTAATATGATATATATTTTTTTTATTAATTTAAACTCCCATATTTTTAGAAAAATTAATTATTTAATAAAATATTTTATAATAAAATTAAAATGTATATTTTTGAAAAATATACATTATTTTAAAGATATTAATTTAAAATATTATATCATTAATAAAAATTTAATTAATAATTATATAAATATTTTTACAATTAAACAAATATTAATTATTTTTTAAAATAAATAATTTCTTTTAGTTTTATATATTTTTCTCTCAAACAAATAAAATTATTTTTTATTTTCTTTCCTTCTTAATTAATCATGTTCAAACCATAAACGTGATAAGAAAAAAATAAAAATAGCGGTTCAATTATTTATACCTTTAGATAATATAAATAAGGGATAAAATATAATATGGTATTATATTATTGAAAACTGTAAAAATTATTTAAAAATATTAAATTTTAGACTTACGATACAAAATATAATATAAAATAAATTTATTAGTAGTTATAATTTAAAAAAAATTATAAAAAAATCAATATTATAGATAATATAATTAAAAAAAATACTGAAATAAAAAAATTTCATCAATAAGTATTATTCCTCTCTGATACTTAATTTTTATTTTTCTCTCTTTTTTATTATTATTTTTGCTTCATTTTTTCTTCCCTTCTACTTAATTTTTTTTAATTAAAAATATTATATTAAAATTTTATAAAAACATGTTCAAACAAATTTTTTAAAATTAACATTAAAATTAAAAATATCAATTAATTATTTAAAAATATGATAAAAGTAAATAATTTTATTTATAATAATAAATAATTAATTTATCATAATAAATTAAGTTATCTAATTAAAAAATATCAAATATTTATGAATTAAATATATTTAATAATTTAATTTAGTTATAATTAAGTAATTTATAAAATATATTTATTAAAAAATATTAAAATAAATATTTTATTATTTTGTTGATTTTAAAAATAAAAGTATTTACATATTTTTATCAAATTTTAATATAATAAATTTTAATTAGAAAATAAGAAATAATGTAAGGGTGATTCAACTGACTCACCACAGTTTTAAATCAGGTTGGATTTGATTTTTTTTATTTTTATATTTATCTATTAATCCTAAAATGAACCCAACTTAACTAAGTATATTAAATAAATTTGACCTGAGTTGGTAAATTGATATGTAATGTATAATATATTTTAAATTTAAAAAATAATTACAATAATTTAATAAAAACTTAATTTTATTTGTATTATCTTGTACCGTAAATATAATTTTCACTCAAGATTCATGTGTCATTTGTCGTGTCTATTATGTCTATGTACATCAATATGTCTTCTTGTGTTTATTGTGTATATCTGTATTTGTTCCGTCTACACATTCGTTGTGTCCACCATATTTGTGGTTGATTAGAAAAAGAAATAGAAGAAAAAAAATAAATATGAATTAGTGAGTCAACCTACCTAACTCATTAACCCGTAGTGAGTTAAGTTGGTTGTGAAACTTATGAGTTATGTTGAACTCGTCTATTATTATATCTATTTATGATAAGTTAATCCATATGAATTAGGTTGACTCATTCACGAATCAATCCTCGTTAATAATATATTTTACAAAATCAATTAAAATAAAATTTATGTAAGTTTGTTTATTTATTTATACCAAAAAATTTAATAATAAAAAATAATTTGTCAGACATAATATAATATATTTTTTCTTTTTATTTATGGTTTGTTATTGTCTTTTTCATAGACATTATTTAGTGTTTGCTTTGTTTTTTTTTTCTTTCTCCCCTATTTTAATTTTCTCTCACTCTATTTTATTTTTTTAATGAAAAATACTAGATTAAAATTTGATAGAACGAATATTTTATTATTTATGACAAAATTAAAATATTTAAATTATCTATAAATATTGTATTTAATATATTATATTTTAAAAAATATTATATGATAACTAAGAAAATATTAAATATTCATTTTAAAATAACTTTTAAAAATACATTTTATTTATAAATATTTTATATTTTTTAAATTAGATAATAATTAATTTATTATGATCAAATAGTTTTAAGTTAATTATTTATGTTATTGTAAATAAAATTATTTATTATTATCCTAATTTTAAATAATTAATTTGTTGGTTGATATTTTTTAATTTTTATGTTGATTTTAAAAAAATTTAACATAAAAGAGAAAAAAATAAAAGACAACAAAATAAGATCAAAAAAATTATAAATTAATAGAGATTTTATTTAAGTTTTTTAATTATATTATTTAGATAAATTAATTAATAAATATTCTACTAATTTTTTTAATTATATTATTTATAAAGTGAGAGAAAATTTTAATAAAAATAAGTAATAATATAACAAAAAAGTAAAAGAATATTATATTTTTTTATTTTTTATAGCTTTTTTTTTGTCTAAACCGATTAAACCTAACTTTTCTTTTATTATTTAATGGTTAAATTACATAAAAAGATTTTAAGGAGAAATTTGGACCAATTCCAGATTGGACAGTTCCATGGATCCGCTATTAATAACTAAGGTTGAAATCAACGTGCCAAAATCATTTTTAAGCCTTGGTCGGTGGAACTCACAGATTTTGGTGCTAAGAAAGGATAAAATAAATTATGAAAAAAAAAATGACATAATTTAGGATCAAATAGGATGGCAAAACCGTGAGGCCTGGCTATTTGGCAAAACAGCAGGCCCGCGGGTCAGCCCGTCAGTCTATCATAATATGGCGGGGTGGATTGATGTTTTCAGTCCACCAGTCTGTTTTGGTCCATCCCGCCAACTCGTTGGGTCAATCCGCGGACGGGACGGCCGATCCATGGTCTGTCTAATTAATAAAAAAATAATTTTTTATTATAATAAAAATTAATTATAAAGATAATATATAAAGTTAAAAATTTTAAAAAGAGAATTAAAAAAGTTTCACTCTCACATAAAATATTTTTCTTACTCGAAACACAACCTTCTCTCCCGTTATCCTTGTTCATCTTAAACATCGATTATTTTTATTCTTGTGACTTGAATTAAATGTGTAAGAATTACTCAACCAAGAATAATGTGAAGTTTTATCAAATAAAAAAATATAGGTATTTGAATTTTTTAATATAAAAAATATAAATTTTATAAGTTCTAACGTTATATATATATATATATATATATATATATATATATATTTGTTATTATTTATTATTATGTAAATTTTATTATTATTCTAAATTATAATTTCTTAAAATAATATATTAATTTATATTATTAAATTGAAATAATATATATATATATTAAATTATTGACAAACAAATAATAATCTTATTATTAAATTTATTAAAAAAAATTATTTTAAAAAATAAATTATTTTTTTCTAAATTATGGCGAGTCGAGTCAAGGTTTACTGACCGTCATGACTATATCGAGCCAACTCGTCCCGTCCCGCTTTTGACGGCCAAAGACAGGACGAACCAAAACGGGACTGACTGGCCCGTTTTGCCATCCCTAAGATCAAATAACATCTAATTAATAAATAATAAATAATAAAAATATAAAAAAAGTTATTTATTTTTTGATAATTTATTTTAATATTTTAAAAAATTATCAATAAATATATTTAATAATTATTAAATTTTGATATAAAAATTATAAATATACATCTAAGTTATATAATTTTGGGAGAACATTCCGAAGCTCCTCAATGTTACCCTTTCCATTGTGGTGGCTGCTTGATACAAATCATTTGTAAAAAGCTTTCAAAGTTTATTTCATAAAAGAAAAATGTTTAAACAATGTTAGGTCCTAAATTGCGTTCTTTCTGCGCTGAGATAATAGAAACATAAAAGAATGAACCGCCCTTTTCTTCAACTTATGTTTATCCAAGTCAAAAATCACTTATGATGATAATAACGTAACTTAAGGTTAGAAAACCTTGAAACAATAATGTTATATTTCTTCTACATATAAAATAGAAATATAAGGAATGAATTAATTCCGGTATCTTTTTCATCCTCACTGTTCTTATAAATAAATAGTTTTTATTTTCATTTTCGTATTTTTCTTTTCTTTTCTCTCACCCTCCCCTGCCAGACATTGGGTATGCTTGGTATTCAACAGAAGAAAGAAAACCCAAAAAAAGACAAGACAGCGATGCAACCAAGGTGTTCTCTTTGGACTCTTCTTCTCTTCCACTTCTCTCACTCTACCATCGTCCTCATTGGAGAATCCAAAACACCAACAACAGTCCTCTCTTTTTCACTCCCCAATTTTTACCACCATTTTTAAACTCTCTCCATTTCTGGCAAACTGTCTCTGTCATAGACTCAATAATTGAAGCCAACCGACCAAACCCTTCTCAATCACGGAACAGGAAGAATCACAGTACACCCATCAAGTGCAGGGTCCTTCCACGTGCTGCCTGAAAAAAGACCAATTTCCAGGGTTGTTCTTCGTTCACCCCAACGCTTTCGTTTTTATTTTCACTATTTGGATTTGTGGGCATGCGCTGAAGCGTGCAAGTTTTAATTTTTATTCTGTCGGATCGGCATGGAACCCGAACATTCTGATAAGAACTTGCTTTTGTTTCTGCCGGACGATGTTTTCGCCGTCGTTTCTCGGTTCCTGTCGCCGAGAGACGTGTGCAATCTGTGTCTGTGCTGCAAGAGTTTGAACGCTCTTGTGGCCTCTGAGAAACTCTGGCTCACACAATGTGACGATTTGGGTATAGTGCCCCACAAGGACCTTGTGGAATGGAGAAAGGGCGTGGCTTCTTACAAGGCCCTTTGTCGTTTTCTGGTGGGTGTGAAACCGTTGATTGGAATATGGGTTCACCAGAATCCTGAGCTTGGGAACGTGGTGTATGTGATGCCTGGTTTTGTTTCTGTTGTTGGGTGCAGGATAATTCCCCAGGAGCTTGGTCCTTTGGGGATGGAAGAGGGTCCCATACTGTGGGCTTCTGTCTTTGAGATTGTTAGCGATTTTGATGGTTCCATGATGTTTTTTCTTCATGGGAGGGAGGAGGAGATGAATTATGTTTATCCAGGCTCGGTCAAGCTTACAGACAAGTCCTGTAATGTACTGTTGCTTGAGGTTGAACCTGGGGAGTGTAGCAACGTTAGTGCTTTGTTGCAGAGTAAGAGCTTTGTGCATCACTCGTGCGTGGAGTCGTCATCGTCCAGGAAGATTTGTAGGTCCAATAGCGATGTTTCTAGTTCACAAAGGATGGTTGAAAATGGTGAAGGGATGGTTAGTTTTGGGAAGTTAGCTTTTAGTGATAGGAGGAAGTTGCTTGAGGTTACTACTAGCCATGTTCGACAAAAGGTTCCGGATAAGATGATTGGGCCGTTGTTTCCTAGGTTGAGGGATGATGAGGAGAATTTTCAGAAGGATTTGGTGCTTTTGTGGGAAAGAAGATCACGCCTTAGTCAAATGTATAAGGTTGGTAGTGGTCACATTGATGAGTATAAGTCGAGTTCTCAAGAGGCAGTTGATCCAACCCAGTTCGAATTGGGTGATGTTAGGGCAAGATTTGACCGTTCAAGGTCTATCTCTAATCCTCTGCCTGAGGAGGATACTAACACTCAATGCATCAAGAGGAAAGGTCTTCGAGGATATTTCTGGAATGGCATTAAACAAATGCTTGGAAGATCAAATTCAATGAATGGCAGTCATTCAGTTTCCAAGAAGCTTATGTCAAGGGGTGAGATTAGGTATGAGCGGCTTCAAGAATTCCTTAGATCGAGTGACACAGTAAGACTAACGTTAAAAGCTTCCACTGTGAAGCTATCTTCTTACCGAGCATGGCCAAATATGCGTGACAGTCGGTTTGCACTTTACAAGTTGCCATTGCGAGTTCCCAGAGATGATCAAGAATATGCTGGCTTATGGGGAGGAACTTTTGGTTGGCCTCCTGGAAAGCCTTCCGAGGACAAGCCTGGAAAGGCTTTGTTCTTTCTTCTGCTCTCTTATGAGGAGTTCCAGGGACAACAGCTTCTCATAGCAACTAAAATTTTAGAAGGCACCCACTATGTTTTGCATCCTAATGGTTCAGCAATGTTTACAGCAAATATCAATGAACCTTCGTCTGAACCCTTTCCCTGGGACACTGATGCAGACTTGGTTCCTGTTAATGTCACCCATGCTTTTGTGGGAGAGGGTATTGCAAGTGGTTATGGGTTCAGATACCCTGGATCAAAGCCTGGTTCCCTCTTTGTTTTACAAAATGGCATCCTTGCTTTCATGTGGAAGGAATCAAGAGTTGTTTTGACCTTGCAAAGACTTAACTTGCAAGAACTTTTGAAGAAGGGTGAAAGGGTACCTTCTCTACCGCCGGTTACCAATTTTTCATATCTGACAAAGTCCTACTCCAATGTGTTTGTTGGCCTCCCCAGTCCTTCCAATTTTTTGTCCTCATCAAGGTTTGCTTAAACCCTGACATGTCAGCTTCTTCTACTTTAAACTTCCCCTCAGACTGTCATATCTTATTATTTTGTGGTTTGCTATAATTGTTGCAGCTTTAGTGTTAATTTGTGTTAAATTGGTCGATATATAATTAGATATTATGTTGTTTTGGTGATCACTGTCGGCTACTTTACCTTACTATCAATGCCAAATATTATGCATATGCATGAAGTTGTATAATAGGTACAATGAAGCCTACGCTGATTGTCATCCAATACTAATTAGTTGGAATTTGGAGTTTCTGAACTTGTCATTTGGAGGATTGATAGGATACTATCATACTTCCCTGTCTTCTGAGTTTCGTGCTCTAAGTTGGTAAATTTAATAGTACTAATGAACGCCACTCATCTGTTTTATTATTATGCTGATCTTGAAAAATGACTCGTGCTGAAATTTTTATTAAATTTATGTTGGCTTTTGGGCTTATAAGGAAATCGAAAGTTTGTTGATGTTTCTGGCAAAATCTTTAAAGAACTGTTGTCATCAAACAACTTTAACCACTTTAGTAAGTATCCTGTGAAAAAATGGAAATTCTAATGCATATTTCTAAAACAAATGATTTTGCTATGAACTTGTCTGCCTTAATAGACTCTTTGCCTTATCATTCTTTGGTAGCATGATAATATTGTCGATAGTTGCTGACGGATTATCATTTTATTAGTTTGCTATTGTGGTTTGTGAATATCATTGTTTTAAGGTGTGTTGTTGTTGTTGTCTTGATGTATAATATATATGCAATAATCTTCATCAACTAAGGGAGTTAGTAGAATAGGAAACAACAGGTTACTAAAATTACGGAAAATTAAAAATGTATATGTGGGAAAATATTTTTTGAATCTTAGTTTATATGTCTCAATCAATATAACCAATCTGGTCAGGAAAGAATGATGGCTACAAATCTGACAGCTGTTACAGCAGCACCAATAAACCATTCCCTCATTCAATGTAGTAACATGCATTTTAACATCATTACTTATTATTAGGAAAATTCAAGTCTTATATTGATCGGAGAATAGTGTTTGACAAAACAATACAAAAGCTTATAAAAGTTAGGCACCCCATCACTTTACCAGCAGTGTTGTAGGAATGAGTGCATGTCTAGACATGTCTGCGCCTCTTCTTTGTTTTGCTTAGTTTGGTTTACTTTTTTGTTATCTCCCTTTACAGTGCTAGAAAATTTGAGATTTATGCAAATAAAATCTGTGGAAAACTGATCTTAAATGTTAGTTACCAGTTTACATCATTCCCGTTTTAACATAAATCTAAGCCGTTGTTTCATGTTTCTATTCAGGAATGGACAATAGTGATGAGTGGGCTTAGGATGTGGGTCCAGATTATGATTGACAATGAGGCTATATTCTACAAGCTTCGTAGCTGTCGGTTGTTGCGGGAACTACGTTGGTGTTGCTGTCACAGTAAATTTCTCTGCCGTTATGTTTTCATATTACTGCTTCTTGTGAGGCCAAAAATGTGGCTAATATTTGTCAAGTAATGTATTGTGAATTTGCATCTCATGTTTGTTGTGCTTTATACTGAAGAATGCATTGAGGATCCTCTTAAAACAAAAAATTATTTATGTAAAGTTGAGATTGAAGTCTTGGTGAATGGTCATAGTGGGTAGCAAGCCAATTTTAGTGGAATCACCGAATCGAGATAGGGATTTATCAAACTTCAAGAAAAAGAAGAAAAAACTATCTTTATGCTCTCTTCAATTTTTTTCTTCACCCCAAAAAGAATAGACAATGTTGTGATTGATGAAAAGTTGAAGAAAAAAAAGTGAAAGGACAATGGAAAGTGGAAACACTATAATAGAAAAATCACCTTTACTTAAAAACTCGTTTTAGTCAAGGTTTTGGACTATCGAAACGACCCTCTCCTTCTAAATTTCCCTTTAATTTCAAAGTACAGTTTTTTTAATGCAGTTTCTTCTATTTATAACATTTCAACCATTCAAGTTACATAATTAGTCTCGTTTCTCTTCCTTCAAATGAAGCCATATCATCTAATCAAAATATGCTGAAAGTTCATTTTCACAAAATATATCTTGTTTTAAGAATTGTTGTGAGAAATTAATTTTAAATATAAAAATACAAATAGTCTCTTTACAGCAATAAGGAAGAAGAGAGTAGTTACTCAGTGACAATTTGAAACTTTTTTATATAAACTTTTATCTAAATTTTGATTTAACGTACTTCTAAGTAATCTTATCGGTAAAACATATTTTATTTTCTTATTAAAGTAAATGTTGAATATAGAAGAAATAAAGTTTGGGATTAATCTCCCTTGTGTATAAATCATACATAGGGTAGTATATTTATAGTAGAGAGATACAACTAATAAACAAAAGATATTGTTTGATATTGTGGTTAACAATATCTAACAATATCACATAATATCTAAACAATATCTAACACTCCCCTCAAGCTGAAGCATAAAAATCGTATGTGCCAAGCTTGTTATAAATATAATCAATTCTAGGACCCCGTAAAGATTTAGTAAAAATATTTGTTAACTAATCACTTGAGTTAACAAACTCAGTCTTAAGGTCTCCAGACATAATCTTTTCTCGAATGAAATGACAATCAATCTCAATGTGTTTGGTCCTCTCATGAAAGACAGGATTAGAACTAATATGAAGAGCAGCCTGGTTGTCACACACAAGTGACATTTGAGTGACATCTCCAAATTGTAACTCTCTAAGCAATTGCTTGAGCCAAACAAGTTCACAAGCAGCTGAGGTCATAACTCTATATTATGCTTCTGCAGTAGATCTTGCCACAACACTTTATTTCTTACTTTTCCATGAGACCAAGTTACCACCAATGGAGACACAATATCCAGATGTAGATCTTCTATCCGAAGAAGATCCTGCCAAATCAGCATCTGAGTAGCAAACAACTCTTGTATGGTTATTAGAATCATATAATAATCCTTTTCCACGAGATCCTTTAATATACTTTAAGATACGAATGACTGCATTCCAATGATCTTCACATGGGGAATTAAGAAATTGGCTTACCACACTGACTGCAAAGGAAATGTCAGGACGAGTAACTGTAAGATAATTCAATTTTCCAACCAATCTTCTATAGTGTTCAGGATCAGGTATAAATTCCCCCTGATTTGGTAGAAGTTTAGTATTGGGATCCATGGGCGTATCAATAGACTTTGAATTCATCAACCCAGTTTCCTCCAAAATATCCATGGCATACTTCCTCTGAGATATAACAATACCATCATTGGACTGTGCCACCTCAATACCCAAGAAATATCTAAGTTTGCCAAGATCTTTGGTCTGAAAATGGTGACAGAGATGTTGTTTCAACTGAGAGATGTCATGGTTGTCACTACCTGTAAGAACGATGTCATCAACATATACTATCAAGTAAACACATCCAACACTTGAGTGTCGATAAAAGACAGAGTGATCTACTTCACACCGAGTCATACCAAATTGTTGAACAACCTTGCTAAACTTTCCAAACCAGGCCCTAGGAGACTGTTTTAGGTCATATAGGGATTTGCGAAGACGACATACCATCCCAGAAGACTCCCCCTGAGCAACAAACCTAGGAGGTTGCTCCATATAGATTTCTTCTTGCAAATCACCATTGAGGAAAACATTTTTAACATCTAGTTGATAAAGAGGCCATTGTTGAAGAGCGGCCATGGTGATAAATAAACGAACAAAAGTCATCTTTGCCACAGGGGAAAAGGTATCTCCATAATCCAACCCAAAAATTTGAGTATAACCTTTGGCCACAAGACGAGCTTTGAGGCGATCAATAGTACTATCAGGTCCAACTTTGATAGCAAACACCCACCTGCAACCAACAACAGATTTCCCAGACGGTAACGAGACCAATTCCCAAGTTCCACTATTATGAAGAGCACTTAGTTCATCTAACATGGCCTGATGCCAACCAGGATGGGCTAAAGCTTCACGGACAGTTTTTGGAATGGTCACAGAAGAAAGAGAGGAAAGACATGTATAAAAAGGTAATGACAGTCGATGATAACTCAAACCAATATAATGGGGAGAGGGATTACGTGTAGAACGAATACCTTTTTGGAGGGCAATGGGAATGTTAGACTCAGGTGTCACATCCGGAGGAGACAGAGTAGTTGGCACTTGAGTAAAGTCACATGGTGGTGGTTGTGATTGGTTTCGGTAACTATAAACCTGAAGAGGCAGTGAAGAAGAAGCTGACTGCGGAGTAGAAACTAATGGTGAAGAAGACACAGTTAGAGGGTCACAAACAACAGGAACATTAAATGTACTAGGAGTGTTGACAAGATTGGATGGAGAAAGAGGTGAAGATTGACTTTTAAAATAAAAAGAGAATTCATCAAAGGTGACATCTGCAGACACAAAATAACGGTTAAGAGAAGGAGAAAAACATTTGTATCCTTTTTGTGATCTTGTAAACCCTAAGAAAACACATTTATGTGATCTAGGAGAAAACTTGTCAAGACCAGAATTGAAATTATGAACAAAACATGTAGACCCGAAAACTTTTAGAGGTAAGGGATGAAGTGGTTCATGAGGGAATAAAATGGAATGAGGTATTTTATTATCTAAAACCGAAGATGGCATGCAATTAACAAGATAACATGCAGTAAGAAGAACATCACCCCAAAAATGTTGAGGAACCTCTCCATGAATTAAAAGAGTGCGAGTTGTTTCAATAAGATGTCTATTTTTACGTTCTACTACACCATTTTGTTAAGGTGTATAAGCACAAGAAGTTTGATGCAAAATACCATGAGAAGCCATGAATTGTTTAAAAGAATGAGAAAGATATTCACGACCATTATCACTGCACAAAACTCTAATAGAAACACCGAACTGAGTTTGAATTTCATTGAAAAAAGTTTGAAAGATATGAAATAATTCAGAACGATTTTTTATAAAAAATAACCAAGTGCATCTGGAATAATCATTAATGAAAGTAACAAAGTATTGA